CTGCTGGGAAGACAAACGGGAGGAAACAGGGAACTGAAAAATACTTCTAATACAAAAGACACTAAGAGTAAAGAAAACCTGATGAACTAGGAGAGAAAGATATGAGGGAAACCGAACCTAAATAGAAACAAGGCTGATCTAACAATAAGAACTAAGGAACACAGAGCAAGAGAAACTAGAAGATCTAAAAGAAATAACCCAACTAGAATTACTAAAGAAAGATACAGACTCAGACATGGAAGAATAACTGAACCTATGGTGATCAAATTAAGAAATAAACATTAGAAACCCTGCAGGGAGGCTGAAATAAGAAATAACTAGAAGGATAAAATAGAATAGTCATTAAAGAAGGCTTGACATGGACTCAGACAAACAAGGAAAAGCAATAATATTATTCTAACTACACTAAATACCATGAACCACTAAAGTGAATTGAAACACAAAGTTAATAAAATGAAAAGCAAAACAAACCCAAAAACCCAGTGTCCTGACAGATGTCTGATTATATAATTGTTCACATAAAATATTTATTTAAAAATATAATCTCATTACGTGTATGTTTATTACCTGAATATTTAAATATCAAATTGTTACTTAAAATGTGATTCATTACTTCACCTATTTACATGCAACTTGAAGTGCTTGAATCAAACGATTCATGAATGTTTAATCCATTAAATTATTAAATGAGAGAAAACAGCCACTTCCAACTGTATTTCAACACAAATGGTTCCTGTTCCTCTTCAGAGTCTGCAGCCTTGCTGAGTTCCTCTCCTGGTGTTTCCTCCTCAGCCTCTCCAACTTGCCCCTCTTTTATTGCCTCTGCTACTGTGTTTCCATTATTTACCTCTTCTGGGGTAAATAATAAAAACAGTCTCTGTAACTTGCTCCCCCACTTGTTGATGGTTTTGCTGTATCGCCTCTTTAATTGATGCCCATGTCAGTCCGATGTTGTGGCGTTTACCTCGCAATGACCCATATTCAGCGCTGGAACCCAGTCAGGATTGAGCTAATCCATTTCATACGTCGGTTTGCCTTTAAGAGGACATATCAGAACACACATCAGTATTAATGCTGTAAATTTGATAACACTAGTAAAATAGTTAACTTCACAAAAATTTAATAACCTCCATGTCCACTGACAAAACTCGGACTATGCTACATAAGCAATATTAGCCTGACCAAATAAGGTTGACCCACTTAAATGAACTCAACATGAACGGAACACCTGGACAAAATCATAGCAAAATAAATTATGACACACCACCAACAAAGCGAATTTAGACACTCACCAGAATGGTGAGCAAACCTGTAGGTATCTTGAGTGGGAGACTAGATATATCTTAGTCCTTTTGGCAACAAGGTTTTGTGATAGTCTGCTTTTATTCTGTAGAATTTGAGAAAAAATTCAAATAAATACCATCACACTGTTTGTGTGATGGTATTTATTTGAAATTTTTTCATAGACTATTTTTTCATAGAACTCTCATCCAAAGAACTAAAAACAATTCCAAGGTTTTTTGTTTGTTTGTTTGTTTTAGATTAATCTCAATTTTTTTAGTTTTTTGGGATGAATTTACTTCTTATTTTCTACCTGCAATGGCCCTAGTATGCCACTGTAGAAACCAGCGCTGGAGAGTTTGAGAAATTTGAAGCTACATTTATTTAAATGCCAGTGATCAAATCAAATCAAATTTTATTTGTATAGCACATTTCAGCAGCAAGGCATTTCAAAGTGCTTTACATCATAACAAAAACAAAAATACAAAGTGTTGTAAAAATGCAGTGCTTTGGAGGCTATGACTTTATGAAATGAGTGATAGCTGTTCTGGAATCAGCAGAAAGTGATTCTCATGATGAGCAATAGGTGGAGTCAAATTAACCAGGGACTTGGTAAAAAGTGGGAATGACTCAGCTGAATTCAACCTATTAATTTGTTTTGGCCCCTCATCTAATCTGACTCCATTTTCCGTCCCCAATCTTTTTCCCTCTGCATGTCCCTTTCCTCCTCCCTGTCCCTTCATCTGCATTCATTCCCACCCCAGGAGCTGTATAACTACACAGTTGAAGGATTATTGTGTTTACACACAGAATGCCCATATTAGTACTCCATGCAGAGCTGCCGTGTCTTGGGATTTACAGCCTCACTCAGAGAACAGTTCTGCAGTGTTTTTATTGAGTTGATTTTTAAAAAAATCTGTCTTCCAGTTCTGCAGTTGTTTTTAGTTTCAAATTTCCCATCTCTTATTCTGTCTTTTCCTTTGTTCTTACTTTTGCAGCTTGTAAGTGTAACAACCACACCAATTTGTGCCACATCAGCTCTGGAAAATGCTTCTGTACCACAAAGGGCGTCAAGGGAGACCAGTGTCAGCTGTGAGTGCACCAACATGTTACTACATTATGATTAAACAACTCCCAGATTCCCATTTATCACTGTGATCAGCATGTGTTGGAGTTGGCTGCAAGATTAGCTGAAAATCATTAAAAATAAGTTTCTCTGAAGAACTTCTTGGAATTTTGGTTCCAGGAAGCTGTTTGAATGCTTACAAATGGGGATTTTATTCACCAGAATATTCAGAGGTATAAAAGTTTGTCTTGTGTGAGTGTTGGTGTGTGTGTTACCCTGTGCCTGTGCCAGACTTGACCGGTGCTGCACTACAATATTCTAAATGGGTTGGCAGACAAACTCAGTACGGAGACAGACTGAGAAGTGCTGCATCAATAAATCTAGCAGGCGAGGTTACACAGACAGGCAGAATACGCTGCTGTGTGTGTGTGTGTGTGTGTGTAATGTGATGTAATAAGAATGCATACTAAAATGACACAGGACAATCGTGGAGAAAAATACCTTTTCTCAAAAACAATGATTTTATGGTATGACTGTATTTACACAAAATTTTAAACAAAATTCTTTAACATGATCTAATCCGTTTCATTTAAACAGGCAATAATTGTACATTCTGTATAAGATTACATAACATTTTGGTTGATGTATAATATTGAAAAGTTTCAAAAACGTTGTGTTTTTTTTGACTAAGGAGACTCTACTTGGCAAACTTTTCTCCAGAGATTTATGAGGAACATCATTGCAGATGGCACAGCTTTACCAGGATGTTTTCACACATGATAGACTCGGTTTGATCAAGCACATGATAGACTCGGTTCGATCAAGGACCATAATTGCAACATTTTTGACATTTTCGACTGGTGTTGTTGACTTTCATACTGAACAAACAAATCCTTTGAAAAACATGTTTCCCTCCCCGCCTCTGGTGGCGCTGCACTGAGAACCACCATAGGAAACGACACAGAGAGCAACTTCCTTCTTCACAAAATTCAAACAAAAATGGAGAGGCGTCAGTTATTAGCGGTTATAGGATTTCTCTTTTGTCTCTAGTAAAAGACTACAAGCCATTTCTTCTACTAGTGCTAGATTCATATTTGTTTTGGTTGTATTTACCCAGAATACCCTGTGCTGTAGTCAGTCCAGTTGGCATCTGTGTTTGCACTGAAACCGCACCAGAGTTCATTTCAGTTGAACTGAGACCTAGGTTTGTAGGCAACAGACCAGAGTTCAATTGGGCGTTCACAACTTCTGAAATGAACTGGACTTTCTAGTCTGGAAGCTGGAGTTTGAATGAAGTGGACTAAACAGGTCTGGTGTGAATGAACCCAAACATTCAGATCTTAGTTATAGACCTTAGTGAGATAAGCATAGTGCATTAGTCCCACAGTTATTTCCTGCCCTAAATAAATACTAAAACATTATTATTCTTTCCAAAGCAAAACTATTAACCTAGCACTTGCTAAATTTAGTATAATTTTGAACATCATGCCTATTTACCATTCTGTTCTTGAAAGGACAAAAGTATAACAAGGTGAGATTAGCCTGTGAATCAGTCTATCTGATTGAACCGTGTCTATTTAAAATTATTGCTAAAGCTCACAAGTTGCTTAGCACATTGGTGTTTCATAAATTCAAAACAATACTTTTAGGTGCCAAGGAAGTCAGTTTGCCTAGGATGCCCTCAACAAACAGTAGTTTCACTTTTGTTTTTGTTCAAGGTCAGGTAGCTTGGAGATAACCATTCTTTGACATCATTCAAACACTTTGATAGAGGTTGTAATGGGATATCTGTGCATGTGTAAAAAGATTTGTACATGCGTAAAAACATTTGTACGTGCGTAAAAATATTTGTGCATGTGTAAAATGATTTGTGCGTGTGTAAAAGGATTTGTGCATGTGTAAAAATATCTGTGCGTGTGGAATACTGGATTTGGAAACCTTAAAAATAAAATAAATGTTCTCCTACGCCTATAAATGTTGAAAAAGTACGCACAAGTCACCTGGTACACACACACAAAACTTCATTTACACACAGATCTGGTTACGAGTGCACAAGTATTTTTGAGACTCATTTGACGCTTTGGTTTGCTCACAGATTTGTGTGTAGATGTGCGTTTACATGCTAGTAAAAGCTGGGTCATATGAGTTTTGCTATGAGTCTAGTGTTATTCTCTAAACGTTTCTCACTGTGCTTGTGCCGAAGTGGCAAATACGTTAGTTCGGTGGAAAATGGTATATCTCAGCACTTCCTTATAATATCCTAAAATTATTTATAGACATATTGTGCATTTTTGAGCGGTACAG